ACAATACTTTCTATGGTTGAAGGATAGAATATGGACATCAATGTTTTATCAACTATAAAATACATGAGCTTTCTTAGAAAAATAGTTTTTTTGTTAATTTTCTTTTTTTGCAGGAGAGAAGTGTGGACACGCCAGTTGAGTTTGTTGTCTATTGTAACACCCACAAAATACGTACAATCTGACACTTGCTAGACGTTTTCACTTTCAATTTTGAGTGGCTGCAAGGGCAGTTTCTTTTTTCTAAAGTCAACAACAAGTTCTTTCGGGTTTTTTCACATTTAAAAGGAGCTTATGATTTTCACACCATTTGGAAAAGTTTAGTAAAAAAATTCCAATAAGCAGTTTCTTTATGGTCAGTCTGAATGAGCCCAATTATGGTTGAATCATCCCCAAATTTGATCTACTTGATGTTACTGTTGTTTATTTGGCAATCGTTCGTGTATAGTGTGAATAAAACTGGTAACAAAACACATCCTTGAGTGGCCCCTGTATTTGTTATGATGTGTGTCGATGAAGAATGTTGTATTTTTACATACTGGGTTCGGTTAGTAACCTATGTTTTCTAATTTCTTTGAAAGAATATATTCTAGCTGGCTGGATAGTATTAAAAGCTAACCAAAAAATCAACAAACAGGATCCTACAGTGTTTATTGGCTTGTCTCAGTGTCCGTATATGTTTTCAAGAAATAGTATAATGGCGTCTTCCACACTTCTCCAATGACGAGCGAAATGTAGAGGGCCCTGGATAGGTTCTATGTATGTTCATAGTTTGTTTAGCGCATTTTTACTTGATTTTTTATTACTACGAATGTTAAGGCTATTGGTCTTAGGTTGTTCATTTCTGTATTTTTTTCTTTCTTTGGAAGGGAGACGATTTCAGAACACTTCCAAATAGTGGGAATAGCATGTGTCAGAAACGACTGGTTGATAATATTGGTCTAAATAGAACTAAGTTGTGCTGAACACATAATAGAATTTTGGGTTGCATCCGCCTGGACCACACGCCTTTCTCACATTCACACATCCAAACACACATATTTACCCTCATGTTCTGTAACAACAACAACATCATTGTCATTTGTGTCGGTGTTCACACATGGCAAGTAACACCAGCTGCCTTTTTCAAATCGAGAGAAAAAGGCATTCAGTTTAGCTCTCTTCGTTATCGACATAGATCTACATCAATTTGTTGGTGTATTTTTGTAGCCCACTATAGTCTCAAGCCCAGACCATGTCTCACAAGGGTTATTTGAAAGAAAGAGATTTTCCAGTTTCTTTTTATATTTTTGTTTTTCGGCCCAGATTTCTTTCTTATTAGCTTTGTCTATGACATTTAGTTCTGTTTGTTTAAAAGCCGTTTTAATTTTATGGATGAGGTCTTTGATTCCAGAATTTATCCACGGTTTAGAGTTAGGAAAGATAGTTACTTGTTTTAAAGGGCCACTTTATCTGCACACAAATTAACATAGTCTGTGGTTGTTGTACATGAATCATGGATATCGCAACAGGCATTGATAAAGACATTTCAGAAGGCACAGTCAAAACACTCTCAGATGGTCTTCGCTTTCTTCAGTTCAGGTGGTGACTGTTCGAACTTCTGGCTTCGTTCGTCTCAATACTGGGCGGTACAGAGGAAGTAGTAGTAGTCAGAGTTGCCGATGGGTGGGAGGACAACACACTTGTAGGCTTGGGTGACATTGCCGTAACATAGATCCATTGTCCTTTGGCGTCTCTTTGAAACGTCGATGTACTGAGTCAAGTTGGGTAGGGCGGCATTAAGAGTACAGCTTTTGAAACCGTCGGAAGTAAAGATAGCCGCGTAAGGAGATTTTGTGGTTTGGTTGGAATGAGATCGGATAGAGTATCGGTGGTGATTGGGATGTTGGCGTAAGGAGGAATATACACAACGTTTATACATTGTACTTGGAAACTCACGGGGAGGGGAAGCGGGGGGGGGGGGGACGGACGTAGATGTAAAGAGAAAACCTCCACTTGGGGAGAACAGGACTGTATGTTATTGGTGTGACACCATCGATCACTAATGTTCGCAAACACACACACACACACACACACACACACACACACACACACACACACACACACACACACACACACACACACACACACACACACACACACACACACACCTCCACCTTGACTTTTATTTGAGAGACTATTCCTGTCTGTACGAAAAACATTGAACCCTTTCATGTCTACATTAACATTGGTAGTATCTTCAGTGAACCAGGTCTAGGAAAAGCATAAGATGGAGGCTTCTCTATACTCATGCAGATGTCTCAAGTTATCCCTCATTTCGTCAATTTTGTTGTTCAGAGATCTAGCATTACCAGTAATGATAGTCGAGATGAACGGTTTGGAAGGCCCCCTGCGAACACGGGATCGAACACCGCCTTTCCTGCCCCGCTTTCGCTTGCGAATCTCATCTGTGATCGCAAGTCCTGCTGAAAGGTGTTCACGGGTCTTGCTGAGGGGCGAAGGCTTTGAGAATGGCCGATCTGTACCACACTGATAATAGAGAAATATTCCTTTGGATAACAACTTGAAGACTCGCTTCAAACAGAGGCAAAACTGGCAAAGATACTAAAAACATTAAGCACCACACATTCATCTTGCTTTTGGTAATAAATCAGATTCCGATCAAAACAGAATAATTTAGAAAATTTAAACAAAATAAGCACAAAGCGAAGTGAACCCACCCGGTTGCCACTCATTTGCGTCCACACCCTCTCCAGATAGTTTCCCTTCTTCCTCTCTTCTCTTACCTTCTACCATTGCTTCCAGAATAATGTTTCTCGACAGAATCATTGCGTTTGATAGTATGCCTAATGTACTTCAGTTTCAGGGTCGTTACGTTCTGGGGGAATGCAGGTGCTTCTATAATGTTTTCTGCTTTGTACTACTTCATTTTTCTCTCGTTTCTGTCGCCAAGATAATCTTAGAGTTCTTCTACAACGTTTTCTTTCGAAATCTGTTATCTATTTGTATTATTTTGTTTAGTGATGGTCCAGACTTCACATACATGTATTGCTGTCGGGAATATGGTACTTCTCTGAGTTCTTATTTAGGTATCTTTGCAATGCCTTTTCTAGATGAATATTTTCTTTTTTCAATTTTGATGCTGTGATTCAAATTCCACGATTGATCTCTGGGATTATATTCTCATTCGTCTAAACCCTGGCTCCGAGTTATTCAAAATTGATTGTTCTTTCTATTTCTTCCCAATCAATTCTTATAATTGTCTCTTGTCTCTTTATTATAATTGCCTCTTGTCGTGCCCCCGGGGCAGTGCCACTGACTGAAGTGTCTTTAGGCCATTCCCAAAGGGGGGATATTTCTCGTTCAAGCATAGTAGAATTGTAAATGGTCTGACTCATGTCACGCTCATAACTGTGCCTGATCTACAACAGGGAACTGCTGCTTTTCTCTTTCCTAATCCTTACTATTGTCATTTTCCTCTACTTCTTTCGTATGTTTGTCACTCTAGTGTGACCTGCTATTTTTGTGATGCCTTGATAGTCGAAGCAGACCTTGTGCTGTTGAAGCTAGAGAGGTGAGCAGTCTAAGTCTGATTCCCTGTAATGACTTCTCTGTTGACACCCACCCCTTGGCGCTCATCTGACCGTATGCAGTTGCGAGCGTCGTAATAAATTCTACCAAAAAAAAAGTCTCTTGTCTGCCTTTGTCTATGCCCAGGATTATGATCTTTTTAACTTTTAGTTGGAATCTTACTTGGTCATTGTATTCTTTGACAGATTGTATCAAATTCACAAGTCACCTTGTCTTTTGGCAGGTGTAGTGTCATTTTCATGTTGAGGATAAGCTGTTCCATGAATTTTTGACCACCCAAGTTTGTGTATTCTGAAATTGATTCACCCTTTTGCAGTTTTAAGACAAATTGCATTAATAAGGCACAACATGCTTTCGAGGAATCAATAGATGTATGAAGAACTTAATCTTGTTTATGTGTGTGAGCGTGTATGTGTGTGTGTGTGTTTGTGTGTGCGTGTGTGTGTGTGTGTGTGTGTGTGTGTGTATTGGCACTTAGTTTATTAGATATATAGGTAAACTATGTATATTGTACTGTTTTGCTTTTTTCGTGTTTTTCTTATATTATAAGAACCATGCAACATAAAGAACCATTTCTATTTGTTTTTATTCTGATGAATGTATCAAGAAAATGTCCCCTTGACTAGCATAGTTTTCAAATCGAAAAGCCGTTATGGTCTCAAGTAAGCGATCAGGCACTTTGATTTGAGATTTGAGAAGGGAGAAAGCCTCACTCAGCCTATGGGTCCATCCCTGATTTACATTAGTTTCACCTTTAATATAACCAGTCAGAAAAGAAAAAATATAATACTACGATGTTAATGCGTCCATTCCTAAGTGATTTACCAAGTACGTTCACCAAAGTACATTATTTATCCAGAATTAAGACGTGGTCACTGATGATATTGTGTAACCTTACAATAAGAAAACTGTTCTTTGAATGAATTCCCTACTTCTTCCATACCTATTATAATAAAAAAAATTAATTGGAACGACAGCTTGCAACACGTGATACTGATACTATGAGAACACTGGCACTGGCAACCCGGTTCACCTCAAAGTCAGACTCATAGGGGATGTGTTCCACACTAAATACTATTTGGGTTGGGAGCCACGGGTCTTAAAAGATTTTTGAAACCCCTGAGGAAATCTTCTATGTAAAGAAAATGACAGCCTTGTTTGCTGTTTTTGTTTAAGTTGTAATATAGCTTCAGATGCTGAATTATTGCTAAGGTTTCATTCTGTGTGTACTTGACAACACAACTAGTCTAAAGGACACCAGTGCTCTTGAATAGGTACTAATATGTCCCTTTACGAAAGCTGTAAGTTAAAGTAAAATAGCAAAAAGGCTCTTGCTTTGAGATAGAATGAAATACCTAAGAACAAACACTCGAACCCTCAATGTAAAAAAAAACAACTTTTGTCCTCTCCAGCCTTTCTAGGATAACAAGTGGCTACTGTGGGACCTGCAGTAGCGTGTCGGCGTTTGTCTTCCTCAAAATGGCGTGTATGTCTCTAGTTCTGCTCCTTGCCCTCTCTGTGATGATGAGTTCAGAAGCAGTGGCCGCAGCCAAAAGGGAGTCTGGGAAAGGACAAAACGGTAAGTGCATTGCTCCTTATATACATATATTAAACACATTTTAGCATACACAAAGCAAATCGGCGGGACGCAGTAATCTTTTGGTGTGTATCCTAATTTCAGGTCAAGGGGATCAAACAAAGGTTTTTTAAAAAATTATATCCCCGATCTTACCTTTTGTTTTGTTTGTTTGTTTGTTTGTTTGTTTGTTTGCTTGTTTGTTGTTGTTATTTTTGTTTTGTTGTTGTTGTTTTTGGGTGTGTGGTTTTTGGTTTAAACGTTTGCAGATTTTAGCTTTTACCATTTATTGTCTGGGGTTTTTTTTTATTTCTGCTAAGACAAGTTGTTTTCACTCGAGACCGAGAAGCCTTTCCTGCTACCGTCTAAAACAATGTCACCTAGATCTTACTTCACAGAACGCCATTCTGTAAATATCTAATACCGTATATGCCTGCCTCTATATCCAAGCACTTAAAAAATACTCTTACAAAGTTCCTTTCTGTGTGTGTGTGTGCTTGTGCTTGTGTGTGTTTGTGTGTGTGCGTGTGTGTGTTTGTGTGTGTGTGTGTGTGTGTGTGTGTGTGAGCGTGTGTGTGTGCATTTGAGTGTGTGTATTTGAGTGTGTGTATCCGTCTGCGTCTTTTAAAAAAAGGACCCACCAAACCATGAGTGCTTAAAGCCACAAGCACTGTACACCTTTTAGCATGGAGTGGCTTCTGGAGACAGTAGGGAGGTGGGTGGGATGCCCAATAGACAGCATTTTTGGAGTTTACACATCCTGAAAGTTGAAAATGCGCTTCATCACAGAACCAGATGTCAAATAAGAAACTCTCGCGTTCCCCAAGGCGGCCGAGGAACCACCGACACATTGCCATCCTCGGTCCCCTGTCAGTCTCGCGAAGCGTTTGCCTAACATGAATATAGTATGGGTGTAAGTTAAGATCTACTTTAAGAATACGGACTGTCGATGTGTATGAAAGTCCTAGCTGCAGGCATCGTCTTCGGACAGATGTCTCATTAGATTCAGCGACTGAGCTCTGCACCCTGACGATGTTTAGAGGGGTTCGAATGGTGCGCGTTCGACCCGAACGGTCGCTTTTTCTGGAGATATTTTGTTTTGATTGTCTATACTCCCAAACTGTCGGGAACTTTTTTACCCATAACATCAAAGAAGGCCTCAATGGCACTTAAGCATTCTTCCCGTACCTTGTGCGGAACTAACGAAATGTCAGGGATGGTGATTTTGTGGAGAGGTAATATTCAAAACAAAATGTTCTCTGCTACTTATTAAACTGAACCATGATTTCGAATAAACAAAAGGAACTTGAAACATAATAATGTGTGCAAACTTCCGTTGGCCTGTTAGACTACTGTAGCTTGCAACATGACGCAATTTTTACGACGTTTTGTGGTAATGTATACTGGTGCGTAGTAAATAAAAGGGTACAAAAGCAAAAAAATTGGTTGTTTTTTAATGCGCATTATACTGCTGAATTATTTTGTGGAATCATCTAAAATGAATACCAGTCAAATTCGTTTGGATTGAAGAATATTTTGTTCAAATTTGAAGACGAAAACTTCAGTGTGGAGGAAAATATTTGCGAAAAAAGTTGTAAAGTTTTTTGGGATCACCCTGTACATACGCTGAAAGTATCATGTGCCCTTTATGTCCTACCCTAGGAAAGATCGGGGGAGAGTATGTGACCGATACGCTGAAAGATATTCGATGGCCTCTCTGTGGGCACCATAATGCTTTATACAACACTGGCAAAATTGAGGGCAAGCGAGGCAGGGGTAGGCCCAGAACAACATACTTAGGGAACCTAAACAAATGAGTAACAGGGAAAGATCAGGGAAACGTAGCTTTTCTGAGAACATCCGAGCAAAGGAATGAATGGAAAATCATGATCGCCGATGTCTGTCGCAGATCTGGCACTGGATGATGATGATGATTTAATGTTTTCATTGCTTTAATTTAGTCTTCTGGTTCAAAATCTGCTATTATTTTGGCCATGTATGGTGTGAATAGCAAAAGTGAAAGTACTAATCCTTGTCTTACTCTTGAGCTAACGTGGAACCATTGCGTTTCCCTGTGTGATGTCCTTACCGTTATTTTTTCCATATAGTACTATAAAAATGTCGAGTATCTGTCCCTTGATTCCGTATTCTTTCCCTATGTGTCTCGGTCTACTCTGTTGAAGAACTTTTCCTGGTCCATGAAGACAGTGTTTAGTTCGTGATTCAATTCTGTTGCCTTTTGACTGAGCCCTCTAAGAGCAAATATTGCGTCTGTGCAAATTGTTAACACGGCGCGGAAAGCATCTGGTGCACTATCATTGCTGGACCAAATTTGCTATCATGACTCTAAATCGTGTGTGTGTGTGTGTGTGTGTGTGTGTGTGTGTGTGTGTTTGTGTGTGTGTGTGTGTGTGTGTGTGTGTGTGTGTGTGGCGTATTTGTGTGTATTTATAACTACTGACGCACAATGTTCTAGTTACCTACGTACACAAACAAGAATTCACCCATTTTTGCTCTCACATACGAAAACACTCACTCACACACTCACACTCACATAACACACACACACACACACACACACACACACACACACAAACAAACAAACACACACGCACACTCACACACTCACACATTCCAACACACGTAAATGCTGCTGGAAACACAAGCCTACCCTTACATCAGAGGCTATTTGTGCCTGTCAGTACGGTTGAAGTTGATGAATCTTCTGCAAAATTGCTTTGTATTCCTCGGAGAAGAATGGCAGCTGGAAGGGTCAGTCCATGAAGACAGTATAATTTAACGGACAATTTGGATTTCTATATCTTTCTTTGGGACCTGAAACTGTATAAGAATGGCTTTAATTTCCAAAATCTTGTCCTAGATTTCTCTCTCTCTCTCTCTCTCTCTCTCTCTCTCTCTCTCTCTCTCTCTCTGTGTCTCTCTCTCTCTCTCTCTCTCTCTCGC